GAAAGTGCTGTAGCGGGATTCGGTAGGTGACAGTTTCCTGGAAAAGAATTCAAGTGGTTCATTTTTGTCTCGAACAGATTGTTGCAGGACTGCTCCCATAGCTACATTAGAGGCGTCAACGCAAAGCGACAACTGGGCATCAGGTTGTAAATGAAACAATTTTAAAGAATCAACTAACAAAGACTTAATTTGTTCAAAATCTTGTTTGTGAGTGTCATCAAAATGTAATGTCTTAGGGGGGGGATTACTAGACAGCACGTTAGTGAAAGGTACCAAATGTTTTGCAGCGTTTGGAATAAAACGACGATAAAAATTAATCATCCCCAAAAAACGTTTGGCTTGTTTAACAGATGAAAGAAAAGGAAAGTTACGGATGGCATCGAGTTTATCGGCGACCGGTTTAATTCCGATGTGGTCAATAATATGTCCGAGAAAAGATAGTGAAGAAGAAGCAAAAACACATTTTTGAGCGTTAAGTACGACACCGTATTCCGATAAACGAGTAACTACAGTACGCAAATGCTCTAAATGTTGTTCAGGTGTGGTACTAGCAGCCAAAAAATCGTCAAGGTACGCATAAACGAAAGGAAGACCACGTAGTACCTGGTCAATAAAACATTGAAATGTTTGTGCTGTATTACGAAGGCCAAAGGACATGCGCAAAAACTCAAATAACCCAAAAGGCGTGGTGATAGCGGTTGTATGAACAACTTCAGGATGTATAGGAATATGATGATAGGCACGGAGAATGTCAATGTGGGAAAAAACGGTGCATCCGTGCAATGTGGAAGAAAAATCATGAAGATGTGGGATGGGGTAACGGTCAGGTTTGGTGACATTACTGAGTGCTTGATAGTCTCCACAAGGGCGCCAGTCGGAAGGTGACTGCTTGGGAACCATATGGAGGGGTGAAGTCCACATACTCTGAAAAAGTCAGATAATACCTGGCCGAAGCATGTGTTGAAATTTGTCTTTGGCTAGCCGTAATTTATCTGGAACCAAACGACGTGGACGTGTGAAAACCGGAGGCCCATGCGTACAAATGTGATGAACAACAGAGTGTTTTGGTTTCGGTCATGGAAATTTGGTTTAATCAAATCTGGAAATTGATGCAGCAGTGCGTGATAAGGTAAATGGTCGCCTTTAAAACTTGTGATTGGATAGATGGAGGGTAGGACGATAGAATGTCCTTTCGTAGACAGTTGAGTATTTGCGTCAATAAGACGTTGTTGTCTCAGGCCTACCAAAAGGTTGAAATGAGTGAGGAAATCCGCACCGATAATGGGATGCTGGACGTCAGCAATTACGAAGATCCATGGGAAGTCGCGGCGTAACCCCAGATTGTCGTAGAGTGCGCTATCCTTAAGTTTTAATGGGAGCACAATTCGCGGCGGTAAGTGTAAAAGAAGAGGGGATGGGTGTGCCGGAAACGGCACTTACAGGGATAATGCTGATGTCATCCCGTGTCTACCAAAAAAATGAGACCGGAGGGTTTGTCGACTATTGTTAGGCGGCGAGTTATATGTGTTGGGCTTAGAACCTTACTCGCCTCTAAAGTTCGGCCCGTGGGTTTCCCGATGTTGCGTAAGGAAACGGGTGACTTGACCGGAAAGAGCATGGTTATGCACACTTCCGTGCTCTGTGTCAGAATGTACTATGATGCCAACAATATGCTTGTCCTCAGGAGGATGAATATGAACGAGAATTGGAACGTGAACCAAAGGATGCACGAGGGTACGGTTGGGATCAGTTTATACGGACCTGATTAGCTAACTGATCGAGCCGATCGTGAAGGGCAGACATAGAATCTGATGCGTCAACGGAGGAAACGTTAATAGAACATGGTTGAATTTCGAGTATCTTATCTGCTATGTTGGCAAGTCCAGCGAGTGGAACATCTGAACTGGAAGCGAGAATTGATTGTACGTGGGCGGGTTAGCGTTTGAGAAAAAGCTGTTTAAACAAGGCTTCATCAGTTTTACGGTCCCCCATGATGTTGTAAAGTCGTCGCAACAGTTTAGACGGGGTAGGGCCATCGAGAGATTCTCCGCTCAGTAGTTGTTCCAGTCGTTTATGTTCGGATAAACTGCAGCGTTTGATGATGTCGGTACGTAATTGAGTATACGGCTTGGTGCCGTCAGGGTCCATTAAAATGTCGCGTAAGTCGGCTGCTATTTCAGGAGGGATTACTGCAAGCACATGGTAATACATAGTAGGCTCTTGGGTGATTAAGCGAAGGGCAAACTGAGCTTGAACCAGATGCATGGGTCGTGGTGCCAGAATGGTGGAAGATGAACAGAGGCGGCGTTGATGTTGGGTGACGGTGCAGTTGAAGGTGAGGGAATGACATGTGCAGGAGGATCTGACATGGTATTGTCACGTCGGGCTCACTAATTATTAGTGTTCTCTAGTGTTAACAACAAAAGCCACTTGATAAATCAGAAGGCTAGAAAGCGACACTAATAAAATTTGTTTTAAGAGCTTGAGGTTACAACACCTTAATTGAGTCGAATACAATACCAAAAATGGGAATGTACAAATGAAGGACTTATCGTTCTGAGCGGAAGTTGCAATAGTTCCATCGAGTTGGTTTGGGCCCAGGTAATCGTGTTTCTTTTGGCAGATTCCTTGCTACACGTTCCTAGCTGTCCGCTGTTGTTGTTGAGTCGAGCTGGTGTGTGTTCCGACGCGCGAGTGGTGCGTGAGGGTGTGGGTGTTTGATTGTGTTCTGTTCTTATAAAGGAGAGTTTGACGTGTGTATAAAACATGAATCGTTCCGATGCGTACTAGACAGTACTGACTTGTGGTCGGTCGAAGTTGCGGGCGGAACGGCGTTTGTCACGTGATTTGTGTGCTTGTGTTTGATTGTGTTCTGTCTTTATACAGGAAAGTTTGACGTGTGTAAAAACATGAATCGTTCCGATGCGTACTAGACAGGAACTGACTTGTATAGCAGGTCAGCCGCAGGATCTAATAAACACGCATGTACTGGACAAATTAGGTGAAGCCTGTTGAGGGGACATGGAAATGTCCGCTGCAGTACAATGGATGTTCAAGTAAATGGCGTCTGAAGACAACGCTTACAATTTTCACTGTGACTACGTACAAGCAGGCCATTGAAATTGTAATGTCTGAGCACACAATGGAGATGAGATTGTTTTGTTATTTGGGACACAGAATGGTCGTTTGGTCCGCAGCTGTTAGGCTCTCACTGGTAAGTTCCAGCAATGAAACTCAACGGCGCTTGTAACCTAAATGTTCATCCTAACAGCTACATAAAATACTGCATTCGGGCTAATATCTTGTGAACATTGATTCACCCTTGTCAGGTCTCTAGAAGCCAGACAGTGATTCTGTTTGATATTTCTGGGCTCCAAAAATAGTGTATTTTGCACGGTTTGGAGATGATTTAAGTTTTCTAAGGGCTCCGGTGCAGGAGGCGTCTAATAAGAAACTGCACCACTAATCAAAACGGGTTGAACACCTTATCTGCAGCAAGAAAAACCGACGGTTTGGCCGGTCTAAACACGGAAGTGAAGTAAGCAATGTTCGTTGGACTGGCACCTTCCTCTGAATAACGAAATGTGCTCCCATGTCGGTTGGAGGAGACTCGGCGAATGCCTTCGTTATGAATGGTGAGAAAGGACCAGAAAACATTGTGAGGATAGATGCCAAGAAGGATTTGGGCATCTGGGTCTCCTCAAACTGGTCCTTCTCACCGCACCATGAGAAACCGACCCAAAAGGCATTCGCCATTTTACGGATGATCCGACGCACCTTCTCCCGTATTACTCGCATGGACTCCCAAATACTCTATGGGGCATACGTCAGACCGCTCCTGGAATACGCCAAACAAGTGTCTACTCAGGACTCACGAAAGACGTCACCCTCATTGAGCGTATCCAGCGAGCCACCACGAGAATGGATGTCGGCCTCAAATCCGTGGACTACGAAATGCGTCTCGCAATGCTTGATCTCTTTCCCCTGTAGTACCGTCGCCTGCGAGGGGACCTAATTCCTACTTATGTCCTGTTTGAACAAAGCTTGGCAAACAGGTTTTTTACCGTTGACCCAGCAAACACCCGGCGATGACATAGTAAGAAAATTTTCAAGCTCAGGGCACACACATTCATTAGACAAATTTTTTTTCTCATTTCGGATAGCAGGTGCATGGGATGACCTTCCTCCGACGGTTGTTCACGCCCCTTCTAGAACCCAGTTTAAAGCACTGTTAGACACTTAATTATGCATCTCCCTGTGGAATGTGCGTTATACGAAATAATTCCTGGTGTCCACGATAGTTTGACCGCTTATTCTGATACAACGAATTAAAACCGCACATCCGTGCAGTCTCTGCACAACTTCAATGAATAAACCACCTCTGTGAAAGTTGTTTTTAACCCTGATCAGCAACCTTCACTAAGAACTACCTTCTCCGTGAATGGTTCACGGGAAAAATATAACTGAAGGACATCTCAGATCACTGTATGGAACTCATTATTGCCCTGCGTATTAGGTCGTGTGCATAACTGCCAATCACTAGTATTCTGGGAATAAACTAAAGTAAAATGCTCAACCGGAGCTCGGTAAAAGAGCGGAAACCACAGTCTCACTCATTACTGTATCCTCATTCGCCAACCTGGACCAGTACAGAACCACCCGTCAACGACCCAGCGAACAGAACTGCACAGATAGCTTAAAAAGTTTACACTACTTGTGTCACCCTCGAAGAATTGTACGGGTGAGAGACTACAAGCTGAATGAATGCTACCACATTTCGTAAAATATGAATAACGTTTGAAAACTCTTCCTAGTAACGTGCTTGGGCCTTAAGGGTAATGCGGACGAGCTTGAGGACATGGTTAATAAACGAACTATGCCACCAGGTAGCATGATTTTGCGGCATCCGGCCGGCTTCAGACACATTTGCGCCTCCCGATGTTAAATTGAAAGTGGGATACAAAACCCAGAAGTTTGAAAACGTTATCATTACGACTGTTTTGAGCGATTTTAATAGAGGAATGAAGTGCCCAAAGGAACAGCATGGTAATTATGCCTGATCGATATGAGGTACAGTCTGTACATACTGCGATCCTCTAATCTCGTTGGCAAAATCACAGCAACATCCACGTAAAAATCTGCTGGGAAACCTGTACAAAAATGAGAAAGAAGAGGTGCCGGATGGTGGTGACAAGTATCCAGCGAGTTGTGATGGTTACCACAAGAAACGAAATTGATGTAATAGATGGTCATCAGTGAATACATTCAAATGCATAACGCCTATTCGAAAACAGCTTATCATGCCGCAGATGGCAGAAGCCCTGAAAGGGCGCGAGGAACACGATCATCCAGGTGATTTTCAACCCGTCCGCGAATCACGTTGGGTCCAACATGTGTAGAGAGGAATTCAAGGGTCTCCTTGCACGCCAAAACCGCCAGTGGCAGCTGGCTCTCGAAGGCAGTAGTAAGAAGAATGAGCAAGTTGTCCAGATGTCGTTTAAACCGGGTCTTCTCCAAGCCTTTGTAGAGCTGGATAACAACGTTGCAGGCTGGATGTTATGGAATAAATAAAAGATGAAGTTAAACGAGTAGAACCTTTGCAATGAACACGTACCACGCAAGCAAGGAAGCCGTATAAGAAACGTGCTACTGGGATAGTAAAGCACGGAAACTCGTGATATGGGGATAACAAAAATTGTCTAGTTTCGTGCGTTGCTGAGGGAGTCACCAAGTGAGATGAGTAATGCCAAAGAAATACTTGCCAAAGCCGCAGGTTACATACATATGTGAGTTATCGTTTCATTGTTATCCGTTCATTTTCTTGAGTTTCATGCTTCATATGTCAAGAAATGACGAACAAAATACTGAAGGTTGCTTTACGCCCCTCATTAGACCTTTCTCATCTGAAAGACAGTGAGTCCAATTCAAGTCACCGAATAGTCACCACAAGGTAGCAGTCCGTTAGCCAAAATAGTTGCCCACATCCCAGTTTAGAGAGGGGTCATTCTGGCAGTAAACACGAAAAAGCGACTGTATCGGGCAGTGGGTAGCTACAAGGAAGGCCTTTGGAAAGAAGCATAGTATCATTAAACATGCCAAGCGAGGGTCTCGTTCTTCATATGATCACTCATGATATAAAAAACCAGCTAGGGAAAACTAATGGTGGTAGTTCCGACGGACACTTATGCGATGCCTAAGTGGTTTTGTCAAGTCGATCCATAGTGGTCAACCTCTGGAGAGGACACCTGAAAGAGACCAGCAAAAGGTGATATCTAACGGAGGATAACAGAACACGGACCTTCACGTCAAAATACACGTTTGGCACAAGTTTACTTTGAGGGGCCGAAACCGCGTTAGTTCTTAATCAGTTAATTTGACTACTGGTAGGAAATAACAAGCACCGTTACAAGACAATTGACGAACAGGATCCGTTGAATAACTGAACTTAAAGCTGACTTTGAAAAACGGGGTAGGCGTTCACTACGTGTCGGTGAACCGAATCGCTTCACCTGTCCATCATTGCCATAATTCATGAAAAACATCCTGAAACTAAAACAGATGAAAGCAAAAGTACATCAGAAGTAACACGCGTGAAGAAAGTGTGCATCAAAAAGCTAACCAAATTCGAGTGGATAGATTAAAATAATAATAAACCAAGAGAACATTTCAATCACCTGTATCAAGGAGGTATGGGTAGTGTGTATAGTGCTTGTACTCGCAAGCCGTTAGCATTTTATAGACCAGATCGTCCGTAAAAATCTGAGGACTGCACTCAGCGATTTGGCCTATCAGGCGAAGTGCACCATCCGCATGTTCCCACGGTTCAGTCGGTCGCTGATTCAGTCCAACTGGACGCTCAATTGCTTTGAACCCTGAATGGATAAAATGTTGTTGGTAAGCGAAAAGTAAAGTAAATGTAATATACCAGAAGCAGAACCCAATCGTAATTCAACCTCTCAGTAATTGGGTTTGCAGCGACACGCTCCGCGGTTTACTCAGCTCAGTGATCAGTTTTATGACGAAGTCAAGAATAAAGAGACAAACTCGAAATATAGAGGCTTCCAGAACCAGATTATCCGAGTACACACGTCGTTTACTAACCAGAAAACAGAAACTTCGCAATCTCTGTTAGAAGAGATCGAATTTTCTAAACTTGCAATTAAGCAAGCACAAAACTAATGTTTTGTAAACCGAGAGATATTCGTTTCTTCTCGAAAGACCGACATTCCGATAAATGCCTGGCAGTTGCGAAACTTATTGAAAGTTGCCTACATCACACATAAAATAAAAAGGTGAAATTAATTACAGATAGAAATGGAAGTGTTACGTGTATCAGCATGTAATTTCAAGGGACTGCTGTTAAACTGAGAATGGTCAATCGTACGAAGATCCAAGATTACGCTTCTCATAAAGAAGAATCCACGGTAAGGTTGACAATGCAGGAAGCTGGTAATCATCAGACATTCACAGGGTAGAAAATAGGGATTGTGAAGTAATTTCTAACTTTCGGCAGAACACACTACTCATAAGGATGTTAGGAGATCGTAGTCTTACGAGCAGTGAGTTCTGCCAGAAAGAATATCCTGCGATTTCTCGAATACCTTGTCAACTGAAACGTCAGGCGGCCTTCAAGCAGCACTTCCAACTGGAGGATATCATATAGAAGAGGAGTATTTGAGTCTCTCGCTGACGTCTATGTAATTTGCACGGAAGTGCATTTCGTCAATCACCTTCGGACTGCATCTCACCCTTCCCTCATTTCCGGACCGTAACACTTATTTTGCTGAACGACATCAATCCATCCATACTGGTTTCTCTGCGAAAATGCGTTGGGAAACGTGCACGGAAATGTATCTTGATGTCATTCGGATGTAGCATCTTTTCAGTACCTAACTGCCATGCCACCAGAAAGAAGCACAAGGGCTGGGATACTGTCAGGTTGCCCAAGCCTAGATAGAGGAATTCAAGCAGCAGGGGTCGGGTTAGAACCGAGGACCTTGAAGTTAGTAAATCCGTTCTCTAACTACGGAGCCATCTCGTCCGCCCTTTGTATCAGTCGTTGGGCTAAACACATAAATCTTGTGTTATGTTCGAGACTATCATGAGGAAACGGGATAGTACGAAAACTGAGCCACTGAGGTTATCAGAAGCCATATACACAGACTGTGTTGGTGTATCCAGAAAGAGCGTGTTTAAACTTTGTTCGCCGATCGGCCGAACGAACTTGACTCACTACTCAACGGTGACTAGCCGATATTCTAATAATCGGATGAGAGTTATGCCTAGAAGTTCAATTCGGCAAGGAGGCTTAATGGTCACCAGCCTGGTTTTGAGCTAGAAGCTTACCCATTTCAAATAAGCAAGATTTGGAAGAATGAACGCTCGACGGGAATGTAGTATAAAAGATGTCAGCCTCAACAAATTAACTAGAAGTAAACGGAGAATGGATGCATGCAGCTGTAAGATGGTCAATGAGTACTTTTACAAAGGTAAACTCGAGTCCATCAAATATGGCAGTATACTAGTCCCAATCAATTCGAAGGCACACACAAGACTTTCAGAGCGGTATTTCGAGGCTGTGTACAAACAGAAATAATTGACACAGGGACCATAGACCCAACATGTATAAATGAAACTATGCGGACAAAAAAAAACAAAACTACGAGACGTTTTCATAGGATACCTGAACAAACACAACAGCAGTAAAGAATGCGTTTAGCGTCATTCCCAAAATGGACAGGTTTGTCACTTGGCGTTCTTGTGGACATGAATACTGTTTTGCCCCCCCCCACCCCTCACAAGACCCAATGATGATTGCATGACTTGAGTATGGGATTTCGGGTATAAGACGAGCTACGCGGCCAATAAATTACCTGTAGGTGCTAGTGAACCACAAGAATACATTGTCTGATCTGTGTGACGGGCATCATGAGCATCTGCACCACTGCGTGAGATGACGCACCAAGACAATCCTGGAGTTTGTGAACGAGTTGGTTCGACACCATGTGAATCAGCCGGCTGATCACGAATGTTAGCAAGTTGTGTGTCAATATGTTTGCGGTACAGCTGCAGAGTGAAGATGAGGTAAACAATACTGAGAAAAACGTCTATAAACATGACGCTGAAACTGAAGGGGATGCAGAGGGTGCGAGAAAGACAATTTGATGGCCAAACACCACCTGATATAGCTTCTCTGAGAAAGCAACAATATATGTGCCATCTAGCCATCAAGCCAGGTTTAATTTAACAGTGCTGGTAGTTGCTATATCTCTAGCTCGACATCAGGTGATAGGCCAGAGTAGAGGAGGATGGATCGCACACCGGAAGGGTACGAGTTCTAATTAAAATATAAAGTGGGGATGCTGAGCAGTTGCTGAGTACATTTCATACGCAACCCAAATACAGAATGAACCGACAGAAATCTACCCAACAGCGCACTGAAGATGTCTCCTCGAAACGTTTGCACATCAATTACAACGCTCAGCGAACACATCAACAGTTACTTGATCAATTACCAACGGATAAAAGCGTACGACTAAATCGACAGTTGATCGAACCACTCGGTAACTTTTTTATTACGTGAGTCATTTTATGGATAATTAGCGAATCGATCGTTATGGAAAAGTATCCCAATAGGTTTCGTTCACTCACAATCTAGGCCAGGTGGATCCTTGAATTGCAGTACCACCCACCAGTGGATATCAAAACGCACAGTACCCTAAGGCGGTGTACAATATGATAAAGGGACTATTACACAGGTGTGTCGACACAGTGAATAATCCAATTATACTAGCAGCGGGCGGGGTTGTGTTAAGTTAGATCTCCTGAGTGCGAATAGTCGATTTCCAATGCACCAAAGTGAACTTGCTTTTAGCCCCCTACCCGATTCATCATACGACCTCTAATCAACGTGATCTTCAGTAGTTTCGTGTAACCCAGTGCTCTCACCACTTTCGAGAGGACTTGATTTGAAAGCATGATTAAATGACAGCAGGAGAATAAGAGCGAAACAGGAGTAGAAAAATGCACCACAAGTGCGAAGGTACTACGTAGGACAGTGTACAAAACACTGAATAATAGTTTTGGTGGAAGGATCCCGTATCAATATTTTTATTTTGTCCTAATGAGTGGACCGAATGAGGGCGAAAAATCTCTCATGGCTCTCCTATAGAAAACAGCATAGCTATTTGGGAAAAAGCACTCAACCTATTTAGTAAGTACATTGACAAATTAAACAGCTAACAGGCCGGAACAACCCAGTTTAGAACTGCTTAAAGAAGCATATTGGGATCATACCAACATAATACACCATAACTACCATAACTTGCCGTTCAGCTATACTAGAAAGGAACTATTTGGGAAGATATAAAAAACCTTTCTATGCTTCTGTTGGTCTCGGACAAGCAGTCCGGTCTGGTGACAAATGAATGTTCTGCATACAGAATACTTATTGCGAACACGAAAAATAGGAAGCAGCGAAATGTCTCTGAAACTAAGGGGGAGGGATAAGATGAAGATGCATAGCATCTTTGAAACTAGTGGATCACAGTAGGAGGACCGGAAAACCCTTGGCCTGCAGAGTGAACCAAGATGTAGTTGCAGTCACAGGCTAAGAGTGGATATCCGCTCTAAATCACATTTGTTCGGCTAGAAAGGCTTCAAAGGCTTTATTGAAGTTCAAATGCGGTTACATAGGCGGAGTAGGACAATGTATATATCAGCGTACAGTGAAACACTGAAACGACGGTAAGAAATTATCCATCAATTGCAATCACCACGCAGTTACTCGAAACAGACATATAACTAAATCCACATAATTCATTTATCATCCTCAAATCTGCAGCTGATCTTTTGCATTCAGGGAATTTTGAATTACAAAATCGACTTATTCCAGTAGTGAACGAATGGGGCTCCATCACGCCTTGACTTTCAGGCATCAGCTCGTTAAACTGCTCTCGCAAAATGTACATTTTACCACGCCTTTATGCACTATCACAAAGTATCGGTCGACAGGGTTTATGTGACTTACCAGGAACATTTGTCTCGTTTCCCACAATAAACGAGATAAGCTGACCAGAGATCGACTGTGGGACTCAATAATTCACTCCTGTTTTTCATAATACTCCGAATGAACGGTGAGAGAGACCCAAATCTATCATCCGACCTTTGGATGACCCAAACAATACTCCCAGACTATCCATAATGGTGCAGACTACCAGAAGATAGGAAGCGATTTAAAGCTGTTCTTGGGTGCAAAGAAGGCGAGATGTGTTTCCGATGTAGTTTAATGAAGGATGTAGGAAAATAGCGCCATACGTAGAAGAAATTTCGTATTGTCTAAGTGATGTGCGTCTTGAAGCAGCACATCCTAAGAGAGAGCTCGCCAAGAGGGCATCTGGGCTCATTTGAAAGCAGGATCCACTGCGGATACCTGTGATAACATATTGTACAGACTGAAGGAAAATTGCGCTGTTTTTTCCTCATGGACGAAGCAAACGCCTTGAATTTTCGCGTGAGCTTGATAGAACTGTCATCTGAAGCTCTGCTTTTATTTCCATCCCGAAGTCCAAAGCCCTAAACCGAGTCTTTATCCATTTTATAAAATACTTTCCATACAAGCAAGCCCATAATATCAAATCAAACTCATCAAATCTCGCACAAGTATCCAGTGATTGCACAACCTCAGAAATAAATACACTAGGGAATCGGTTTCCGTCATAATCCGAAAGCACACTAATACAGATCGCAATGAAACAGCACGCAGCGTAGCAGTCTACACCGTAACGAATACGCACCTTGAGGCATCAAAATTTTCCCCAGAGCGTTTTATCCGGTATCTCACCAATCCTAAAGGCATTATCCATATCACACACGACATGAAGTTTTATGACATACTTGGTTCCCCTGAGAGACTCCAACTCGTCAACGCTTATTTGTCGCTTCTACGCTTCTACGATGCTCTCGTGTTTATTTCTCCCGTTAATTATTTTTTTAACCCGGTCAAAATCAATCAATCAATTTATCAGCTATAAACTGTGTGCCATAGACACATTGGTTCTAGCTGCAACAGTTTCGACCACCGGAAAACGGGAAAGTGTAGTATACAACCAAGACTTGAAGGCGAAGGCATGTTCAGTTTGTTCGGGTAGCTAAGCATTGAAGGCAATAGCTTTGATGCACGAGCGCCGCTGACTGCGCAGTTGGGTCATTTCCGCCAGTCATTAACCACTGGTGATCTGAGACCCGAGGTCCCCATACAGGGAGGCGGCAGTTGCCCATCCGACCAAGTTTACCAGTCACAACCGTACTGCGTCTTTTATACTCGTAAGCAGGATTCATCTCCTCTGATAAAAACCTTGAATTTTAAAGCGAACTGGTTCTTGCTAAGCATAAGATGAGCTTAACAAAGCATAACATGGTTTAGTTGAGTTGTTTGCCCCTATTAGCTGGTCACCGGTATGTGTTCACTGTTGCAACCTACGATTCTGCGGGGCGTCCCGCACTGGAAGTGAGCGATGAATGAGCGAAGATAATCCAACCAGATAGGAGCATCTGAAGGGTCAGTTGGGTTGGAATAAAAACGTGGGAGCCGGCGCCACTTGAAAGTGGTTTCCCACGGTACTACGAAAAGTATATAGGCGTATGATTTCAACAGCTTTGGATCAACACAGGTGGATGACAACGATATCTACACGCGAGCACGCAAACGGGGTTGTACATACAAACACCAGGAATCCACGCAAGACACACTTACCTGAATGAGTTCCGGATCTGAAACAGACCTGAGAATGTTTGCAATCGAATAGGCTGCCGTTTCACGTACGGAAGGGATGATGTCAGACAAATTGCGCAAGAACTGATCGGCCAGTAAGTTTTTATATCCGGCAGCTTTAGTTTCTTCAGGGAACTTGGAAACGAGAGTGCCAAGAGCAGCACAGGCGGCGTCCCGCGTCGACCAACTTGTACCATCAAAGCAGATTAGAAGTGCCGTCAATAACTTCAAGATATGAGGTCGCATCAGGTCTGGTGAAAGCTTCGATACAATCTCAGAAATGGAGGTACACGAAACTTCACGAAGCTTTGGGTAAAAAGAAAAAATATTGCCAGAATAAGGGGGCGAACTCACGATCTCCATATGGGTGTCCTAACAGTAATGCTAACGCAGATGTCATACTACATTGCTCTTACGACATTGGTCTTCAAATATGATCCATTACGCGCTTGATAGTGGGTTAAAACTCGCTGTCGCATTAATCGAACAGTGAGTTACGTTATACTGCTTGAGAATACTTACAAGCGTGGACTCTCACCGAACACGGAGCAATTCAACTACCGTCTAATCACCGAGCTGAGCTCAACGTGGACAGCCACGCTCGTCCGAAGCATCAGTGTTGAACACTGATGTCATGCTGCCCATGATGATGATGATGGAAATAACTATGTCATCGAGATGAGTGTGGTTTCTCTAACTCTCCCCCGAGGAAAACAAATCCAGCAGGCTTTATCGTTTAGGGTTTTAGAGAGGGATCCACAAAGCGGACACAAGCTAATTAGTTCTCGTGCATAGAGGCTAGACTGCCAATTGTCGTGTTTCCGAGCAATTTGAAAAGGGAAGGATAGGAAGTCGAAACAATAGCAATCATTCTCAATGGGGATTTAATTTAAAAAGACTCATGAAGCCAGAACATTGCATTTTGACGGAGGCTAATATTCTCTCTCTAGGGCAGTCAAGCGTGTCCCAAAAACAGTTCCGAAAGTACTGGTAACCGCCATACAGTTTACGCGCCATTTTGCACACGTAAAATGAAATCAAAGAGAGGGGACGTTGGGGTTTCATGAGGAGATAATATTGAACGCTTTGAGAGACCCAGTTGTGAACAGTCATTTCACGAGACCCAAGGTTTACGAATTGTCACAGGCATATATTTAGTGTGGAGAGCGAGTGAAACCATAGGCCGTTCATCCAATCATACAAAGGTGTTGAAATGGGCCATTAGAGTGTTCCGAAAAATTTCGATCCCCTAAGGCACAATTTTGACGGCTGCACAGTCCTATCGCACATGTGTTCAAAGGATATTGTTTTCACATCCACTAAGCGTCATTTCCTGAATAGGCCCATGGGCAAAGAAATTTTTCGGATTCATTTAATACAAACTTGACACAAATGCATAAGGGTGACAAAACTTGGTTTTATGGCCGAGTAGTGCTTAAATTTCTCAGGTGTGACAAACTTAACCCCGCAGCCTTCACATAAACCGAAGGAAGTGGTAGCACTGAGACCCAATCTAGGTGGCCAAGTCTATATGAACGGAAAACAAAGGACCATCCAAGCGACGGACCGCCCGGTCAGGGGCTCGCACTTTTGCCCGTGACTAACGAAGGACTTCTAGTGTCCATCTAAGTTACCGCTAACTTGAGACCATGAAACCAACTACCGAAAAGATGACAGATTTCACAAACGAGAGCTTGGTCAGACGAGAAATGGATGAAATCGTCTGAAAAGTGTGGGTAATAGGAGTAGGTGTGTAGGTTAAGAACCAATTAATAGTCCGGAAATTCTGTGGTTCCACTATACGGTGGATCTTCGGGCAGATCGTGTAGGCCTCGGTAGATTGACAATATCCGAAAATGTGAATGTCGCACCAGTAACATAATAAATTTGGGCAAAGTGCGCTACTTATGAGCAATAATTATCACCAATGCGTCGCTGTTAAACTCCGTTTGATCAAATATGTTGGCAAATATATGGACAAAGGGCGACCCGGATATTCCAGTGATCACGATGCATGCAGGATTGTAGTTTCAATGCTTGCCTCATTATCGTGTGGACCGAATGTCACCATCAACGACAGCATGACATCAGTGTTCAACACCAATGCTTCACTGCCGTACAGCCATGACTTATTTGAAGGCCTTATTGTAAAGAAAAGAATAAAGGTGGATGGGGGAGGGACTTAGTGCTAGTTTAACACAATCATTCCGAGGTGCCTACACCTCCAGACATTCACTCAGGCAATCTGGATAGAAACTGACAACAGGAACGCCACTGACATCGGTTGGCAGCCATATCTTGTAGTGTATCCAACCAGGCACAGTGAGGATCACGCGGTCCCCATCCTGGAAGGCGAGTAGCACTGACAGCACCCAAGCGCTTCATGATCTCCTTCATACTCCTCTGCCAGGTCATGGGTTGGCCACCTCTCTGTTTACGCCACTCCGAATTGGGCATGGAAAACAGTACTCTCTTCGGCGAACGATAGTTCGGCATGCGTAAAACGTGTCCCAACCAACGCAGCTTCTGGTGCTGGACACATTCTTCAATGGAAGTACCCGTTACACAACCGAAAAAACGCGCTTTCTAACTGCCTCGTTATGGATTCGCACA